CCCCCCCCCAGGCGTAAGATTATATTTGAACGACCCCTAATTGAAAGGTAGTCTCTGAAATAGATTTACACATTTTTGTTGGATAATGGATTCTGTGAACCGATGTATAAATAGTACTTGAATTTGACACAACTCTAAAAAGTACTTTCTTTTTATGATAAGCTCATATTGGGTTTGTTTTGTTAACATAAACAGCTTTGATACAGCCGAACTTGTCTTAATGGCCACCTGTATAAAACGAGGGGCATACCAAAAGTTTTTAACCTGACCATGAAGGATAAAGGTAGAAAGCTGAAATTTCACACTAAGCTTAGTCTTTCTTTATGTAGTCGCCTCCCACAGTTACACATTTTTGCCATCAGTGTATATGACCTTGAAAAGACCTTGAGAATAGAGGACACTCTTCCTGTCAGGAAACCAGCCCTCTAATGCCCATGAATCTGCATTTGAATTTTTTTCACCAAAATTTCATCTCAGAACAGGGTGGGCAATCAGTTCCATATGCGGCATGTAAATTCGTAAAAATATCCTGTTGTTGCTTGCCTTGCAAGAACAAGAACCTCATTACTGCCCTGTGCTCTATTTTCTTCATTTGTATGTTGAAAATGGAGAACAACATACCCACATTCACTCACAGTGTGCTGGTGGTAATCCCAGTAATTGGAAATGCCCCCAAATTGACATGCATTCTAGGAAGATGATTGTTAGCTCTCACCCCAAATTTCAGCCTTGTACCTTTATTCCTTCATGTTCAGGTAAAAAAAACTTTTGGTATATCCCTCGTACAACCACCTGTACAAATGACCCCCCTCCGCTGTGTTTTTTCTCTATAAAATAGCACTGACTAAAACGGTAACCTGCCAAGATGGCCACGCAGATATCTCATCACCCAACACAATGCCATGAATTATATTTGGCCCCTGACGCTGTGGACTAGCCATCTGAACCCATTGTTAATGTTATGTTTTTCTTACCTTTTCCTATGTAATGAACCAATCACTGACCAGCCCATCGCACAGCCCCCCCCCCCGTTGTTTACTCAAGTTGACCAGTCTGCTGTTAAGACTGGCATGTGAACCATCATAATGCACCAGTCCTCCCCCTGACCCCCCCCTCCCAACTCTGAACACACAGACCATCAGTGAGATGAGTGGTCACTCTGTTTACCCAGTAGGCACTAGTCTTCGTCAGCATGAGCTTGTAACAGAAGTGTCCGCTCGTTTCTGACTGGTGGTGACCCATTTGTTTTTCCATGACACTCGATACCCAGTTTTTTGTCGTTCTCGACACGTTTCATTTTGTTTTACCCATACATACTGTTGTCCTCTTCTTAAGACGCCACATAGGATAGAACTCTTGCAACAATTGCAAAAACTCTCAATCTGGCCTTCCTCCAAAAGAAAACAACATTATGAGATCTTAATGGGCCTTACCTATCCCCTAGATCTGAAACCGCCTCCAGTTAGAGCCCCAGGAAAGAATGGTGTTTTTTTTTTAGCTATTACCATAATCAATTTGATCAGTCCTGCCCAAGACAATGTTGACTATATTTAAGATAAAACGTCTGTGGTTTGTCCTGAAAAAATGCAGTATGGTGTGTGAGATGTAAGTTCATGATGAATTTGACCATACGTTAAAGTGTAATCATAATTAAAGGTAAATTTATGTGTGTGATTGGTACTGTCATTGACAGTATTTGAAAGGTAGATCTCTTTTTGGGCTGCTTTTTATAAATTAATTTTGAAGGTCTTTCCATTGTAGGTTGATGTTGGGTGCTTAATGTTTTTTTTTTTACCTTCTATGGTACTGTTAAGTAGATACTGTCAGTTGAAAATAAAACTACTGTTGCCTAATTGTATTCATGTGTTAATATTTGAAACGAGTTTGGATTATATTTGACACTTAAGTTTATAAATATAAAGTTTATGGGGCATCATGGTGAAATCAGACATTTGTCGAAATAATGAAATTCAAAGTAATCAACATTTTTTCACACGTCTTGCAGTTAGTACCAATTTTTTTGCTTTTGGCTCAACACCTTTTCTGTCCACTTAAAAACACATTTCTGAATGGATTTTCCTGAAAAATGTGGATCAAAGGCATAAAAGTGTAAATTTGTAGTTTCCAAGGATACTTCAGCTTGGCAAGATGCCAAACTTCGGCGGCCATTTTCTCATTTAATTTAAGTTTGTAAGTTTATTCAGTATTTTAGACCATTTGCCAACATTACATAAAACACTCATTTATGAAATAAAGTGTCCAAATAAATGAAAAGTACAGGTCACGCCAATATAAATATACCTCTTCTCATGGGTCAGACATTGCATTTTCTGTTGAAACTAGAGAGGTGAACAGTCTAAGTCTGATTCCTGTAAAGACTTCTCTGTTGACACCCACCCCTTGGCGCTCATATGACCTTTTGCAGTTGCGAGCGCTGTAAAACCCTCAAAACCCTCTGCTATAAAAAAAAAAAGAAAGACATTGCATATTTCTGTCACTGGCCGAGTCAGGCTGGGGGAGACAAGATTTCCTTTCTTGCGCTAAACTCCAACAGTAAAAATTAAAGTGAAATTGATCTTCTAACATTTAATTTAAATACCATTTGACTCTTGAGTGCTTATTTGGTTGAATATTCTAAACCATGTAGACGACGCTCATTTTTCAATGAAACAGAGATAAACAGAAAGAATGCATCACTTTCTTACAAACAGGAAAGTAACTTTTTCAAACTTGATTGAAGACAACTGTAAGATCTCATTATGTTTTGGTCTGGTTTTATGTACAGTTTAAGAATGCCCAGGAAAGTTCAAAGGCAATATTAGCTGAAATCTCACATTCTTTTGTGTCTTTTATTTATTAATTAATTTTTTTCATATATTTTTTTTTCGCTTTCAGTTTCATGCTGGGGTAAAAGCCTGCTCAAGAAATAGACCAGAGGCTGTGGACTGTGTTTCTGTCACAGGACAATATCGTAATGTCTGACACACAGTTTCAAAGTGTATTGTCAAGAAGTGTAATTTAGTATCGCATGTTCTTAGAATCACATGTGTTTATCAACTGATGACACAGTAATTTTTGTGCAAGATTGATCTATGCTGATAAAAAAATCGGAATCTTAGGTTTCGAAAAAACTTTTAAGGTTTGCATTTAGAAGGGATTATGGATAGAAATACAAGAGGTCGTGGAGGTTATCCCAGAATGCCTTCTTCAGGGTCAGGTCGAGGTCGAGGCGAAAGTCACTCAAGGGGAAGAGGAGGAAGAGGAGGATATCATGAGGACAACTACTATGAAGAAGGGAGTAGAGGTTGGGGTCACTCAAGGGGAAGAGGAGGGAGAGGAGGATATCATGAGGACAATTACTATGAAGAAGGGAGTAGAGGTGGGGGTCACTCAAGGGGAAGAGGAGGAAGAGGAGGATATCATGAGGACAATTACTATGAAGAAGGGCGTAGAGGTGGGGGTCACTCAAGGGGACGAGGAGGAAGAGGAGGATATCATGAGGACAATTACTATGATGAAGGGGGTAGAGGTGGGGGTCACTCAAGGGGAAGAGGAGGAAGAGGAGGATATCATGAGGACAATTACTATGAAGAAGGGAGTAGAGGTGGGGGTCACACAAGGGGACGAGGAGGGAGAGGAGGATATCATGAGGACAATTACTATGAAGAAGGGAGTAGAGGTGGGGGTCACTCAAGGGGAAGAGGAGGAAGAGGAGGATATCATGAGGACAATTATTATGAAGAAGGGGACATGAGAGGAAGATATTCACGGGATGGAGGGGGAGGGTCATTTGACGAGATTGGTCATTCTGGAGAACGAGGAAGGGGTGGAAGTCGTTCAAGGGGACGAGGAGGTGGAAGAGGTTCATTTGACCACACTGCCAGTCAAGAGGAGCCGGAAAAAGATTCACCCCACACTCGAGGTCGCCCCCGAAAGAAAACGGGAACAAAGTACATTATACATCACCATTACTCCCCGGCCCACAGTTCTCCAGAAGCTGGCCCTTCCTCAGCACCCCTTCAGTCCACCGCTTCAGCTGAGCCTGTTCCCAGTGCTACAGGTCCACAGTACCAGATTTCTTTGTCAATTGGGACTGGGGCCCAGCCACAGCAGCCTGTCCCTCAGTATGCTGCACCCCACCAGGCTGCACCCCATTATGCTGCTCACCAGTCGGCTCCTCCTCTGTACACTCAGCCATCACCCAACCCGGCTGTTCCTCAATATGCCTCTCCCCACCCTGCCCCTCAATATGCTGCTCCCCAACCACCCCCTCCCCCTCAATATGCTGCTCCCCATCCGCCCCCTCCCCCTCAATATGCTGCACCCCACCCAGCCCCTCAGTATGCTGCTCCCCAACCGCCCCCTCCACCTCAACATGCCCCATCAGGACCACAATATGCTAGCTCATCTATTCCACAAACTTCTAGCCACCATCATAGCCAGTATCCCCCTCCTTTGTTAGACCTCCCTCCTCCTTATGAACCTGTGTCAAGTCAAAGGTCACAAGCACCCAGGTATGGTCCGAGGGAGAATAGAGGTGCCAATGATTATGAAACATATCCCCAATACAACACAGATAGAACCCGGGGCAGGCATGACTCCACTTCAAGCATGTCTAGTTCTGCTTCCGGCACAATGGAGTCAAGGCACAGAGGGTTCAAGGAAAATGCTGCAAAATCAAGAGGGGACAAAAGCACTAAAAACAGAATGGGTTCCAAAGAAGGCGGGCAGGTACACTATGGAAGTGTCAGTAACCTGTCTGATTCTTCCACTGGAAGAAAGGGTTTTTATAAAGAGCCAACGGGAAAGTTTGGTGCCAAGTACAAAAAGGATGGAACAGACAGTAGTAGTGCTGAGGGTTATCATAAAATGAGTAGCAGTCTCACCGACTTGTCAACTGGGAAACCAAGGCCACAGAGGCCAGACTGGAAAAATAGAAATAAGGAAGAGGTGACGGTAAAGTCAAAGAAGGTAGACAGCACAGACTTCTATAAGACCAAAGCAGTTGTGCAAATCAAAGACTTTTTCCCTGATACCCAAAGTGTCAAGAATGTTGTCACTCACAATTTCTTTCAAAGGGAGGATGTGAAGGTTGAGTTTGTAGAGGATGCCATTTTGACTACAAGAGAGCGTGCAGTGTGTACAATCATACTAAAACACAAGAAAAGACAGTTAGGGACTGTACTGATTACTGAGATGTGCAAGCGAATTAAAAAGAATTTGAAAACTGAAGTGACATGGAACACTTCCACAACTTCTGACAGTTGTGTTGGAACAAATAAAAAAAAGAATAAGGGTGAAGTTGGAAAAGGTCAGTCGAATGTTGCCCAAAACCAAGACAAAGAAGAGAAGGAATGTAGTGAGGGAAAGAAGAAAGGAAAAAGCAATAAAACTAACAAGGAACAACCAGCAGATGTTGAGTCGAGTGTGCCGGTTGATGGAGAACCTGCTGAGGGATCATCTGCAACCAAAGGTGTTCCAGCTCCTGTCTCTACAACTCTGCAGGTCTGTGTGGGAAGAGACTTTAAGAACAATGAATCTGTTCTGGCATATTTTCAGCAAAACATAAAAGTAGAGAACTGTCCCATCGAGGTTGTTCCTGGCAGCATAGATATTTGCCCAGGAGAAACTCATTGCAAGTTGCAAGTACCCAGCAAAGCAGCAGCAAAAAGGTTAAGGTCAATTCTGAACAAACACGAAGAAGTGAAAATTGGGGATGATGAGAAGCCAGAGGAAAAATATGAAAATGACATGCAGAGAAACAGAATGGAACGTCACATTCAGGATGCATCCAGTATGATTTCTTCAAGCCTCTCATACCATAAAGAGAAAACGCAAAAGCTTGAGGAATCTTTGGCTACCTTGAAACAGAAGACAAGCAAGCATCTTACAAACAGAGATTCTGATGAGATCCTGGCTGTAATGGATAAACTGACAGAAGTAACCCGCCAAAAGAAGATATTCCAGGAACGATGCACAAAGCTTATGGACCAGTTAGAAGATTTTTCTCCCTCAAAAAAGTCAAGTGAGGACTGTAAGAACCTTCTGCAATCCATTAGCATTGAATGTAAGCGGCTGTCAGATGCCTTGCCTATGTATGCTCGCAGGAATGACATTCAGCATGTCATTTCATCGAACCAGATTTCTATCATCATCGGAGAGACTGGGTCTGGGAAAAGCACCCAGATGGCTCAATATATTTACGAGTCTGATATTGCTGTGGAAGGTATGATTGTTTGTACTCAGCCAAGGAAGATAGCTGCTCGCACCCTGGCTGAGAGGGTTGCTGTGGAAATGTCGAGCAAAGTTGGTAGACTAGTGGACCACAAAACGAGTGCCCTAAAAGCCTTGAAACCAATGACAAAGATCGTCTTCATGACTGATCACTCACTGCTCAACGAGTTCCTTAAGGATAAAAATTTGTCTAGCTAT